CTTTCATGCCAGTTCAATTTCCTTTAATTATTACATCCAAATTTCGTGATATTTAATATTTAAAACCAACCTTTATTTCACAGTCACTTTAGTTTTCACTTTTCTAAAATTATTTTACAGATCCAAAGACTTTTCACTCCCATCATGCAATCTCCCATAGTATTTCCGCAGACACAGTGGTGATCGCCAACATATCTACAAATTACCTCGCTCTCAGGAGCTGAGGAATAACCTCGCTCTCAGGAGCTGAGGAGTCAAAAGACTTTCCACTCCCATCATGCAATCCCCATAGTACTTTCGGAAACACAGAGGCGATCGCCAGCATATCACCAAATAACCTCGCTCTCAGGAGCTGAGGAATGAACTTGATGGGAATATCTAGGCTATAACAGCATGATTCTCCTAGATGAAAGAGCTCCACAAATGCAGGAAATATAGTGTGTATTTTCTCTAAGACACTGCCCGTTTTTCAAATATTCAACTTTTTAATTAGTATACGTTGTCTACTAATTTAATTTTCCAGCTAGGAATAAATATGACATGACACATGCTATAAACGTTCAACTAATTTGAAGTCCTGTAGATGAAATCATTTTTCTAATGTCTCGAAACTGTTGATATGATGTCACAATTTACCCATAATCAAGGTGGTGGACTTCACATACTGATGAGAAGTTATCTGGAGATTGAAAAGTGAAAAAAACTATACAGTGTATGCATTAATTTTGTGGAGCGCTTTTATCTCTGAGAGTGATGGAGGCTTGGACATTAAGTTTTAATGTCGAAACATTTATACTAACCCATTTATCGCATTTAATACTTGAATATGTAGATTCAGAAGATTCTGAAATATTCAGGAAATTTTCCTATTGTCTGACCATATACTTAAACAAACATGGCTGTCACAATACCACTGTTGCACAAAACGTATGTAACTCATATGGGTTATCTCATCAAAAGAAACGGTGTGCATTGCCGTGTGATAACTGTCATAAAGGTGATTGACAGGTCATTGTTTTTAACTATGGAAGGACTGTTGGAATCTACCATGTGTGCTTGTGATTTACATAACAAAGAACAAATTGTGTGGAATCACAGGTGTAGATTGTGATATTGATGATGGCCATCAAACATAGAAGAGTTAGATACTTACATTTGTACAAGTATTACGTATTACGCCTTCTACTGTTTTGGTATGAACAATGTTGTTTCAGGGTTCTTTGCCAATGCCATCCCGAGCTTTCCTTTTTTCTGATATGAATTTACAAGTTAATGAGATTGACCACAACCACCCATAACCCAGTTCACTCCAAGATGCCGATTTCCCACTTATTCCGAGGGCTGATGAAGGATTTTCCATCTGCTGTCATGAATTAGTTTTTGCGTATTTGTTGACCGACTTGTTTAGCTGATTACTAGTGAATGGCTGTGTTATCTGTCATCATTTAGGCTCATGCGAGGCCCTGGACGGAACTTGACTCAGTGATTTGAAACTAATTACGAAATAACCGTTGCCATCCGGACCGCTATTTCTGACAGTTGGTATTCTCAGTTACTAATATAGTGAACGAGTAATCAAAAGATATGACGTGTCCAGTACTTAGTTTGATTGGCTAAGTTGAATGTGAAGGCCAACTGCTTTGTAATTGGTTAAGTTTTGATTTGTAATAAACAGTCGAAATCCTTGATCACGGAGAGAGAGAGAGAGAGAACTCCACGAGGCGAGAGAGTCTTGGTCAGTGCTGGAGAGAGGATCCCGAGGAGGCAGTTTGCCTCGAGGCGTTCTCGATGTGGCTAAAGACTAGCTATTGAAACGTATTTCGTTGTGTGCGTCTATTTGACTGTAAGGCTTATTAAAGTGACGTTCTCGGTCTGGTCTGTCACCACAGAGTAAACCAAATAGACCACTTTCCCGGAAGTCACAGATTCGGCGTTTTTGGGTGTAACGTAAACCTGCATGCGTGATATTATGCTTCCGGTTGTATCAATCACGTGACAATAAAAAGATTCCTTTTTACCGAATATCCTCAGATTGACATTTTTGTATTTGCACCTCACTACTGTGGTCTGTTGTATATCGAATGACACTGGTCTTTTTTATTGACGTTTAATGTTCTAAAGCATATTGGACATTTAGTTATCAAATCATTATTGGCAACGTTTTCAAAATTACCTGTAAAATAAACATAATAGACGTGGCGAGCGCATTATCTATACTTTCTATATATTATTTATATTCTATTTGTTCTGCAGTCATATTATGTTCACTGTCATTTGTGACTATCGCCCTCTATTAAACTATTACATATTTCATGTGTTTTTGTCCTAATACTAGGACAGGTGTTTATTACATACTTTAACACAAGCCTCGTACATTACCTGCGAAATTTCCAGTCGGCTTATATTTTTTAAAGAATACAAAAAGAAATTGTAATACGACGGATATAGAATACACGTTTTGTCCACATCGGGTTCGCAAATATATTTTTTTGGATCAGGTAAAAAGTAAAAAAAAAAATAATAATTAAATAACATTTCCCACGATATGTGCTGTTATTTTATATGTAGAGATACCACCAATGAGATTTGTACATTTTGTGACATCACGATATATTTCATTCTTTATTTTTTTGTTCAGTGAATATTGG